AAATACGGATCAAATCGGCATAGAACTCGAGATGCATTCGAACAGAACTTTAAGTTATGTAGGCGAGAAAGCAACTCTGGCTTCTATAAAATCTTTATATTCTAACACTCACTCTTATACAGTCCAACCCATGATAAGCATGGGTGGCAAGGTTATCGGTCCTCTTTTTCTTTGTTTAAAAGAGCCCACTGGCAAATTAAGTGATAATATTAAAAAAAACTTGTTTCAGGCAAAAAATGTCGTAGTTACTTGTAGTACATCAGGCAAGTTAACGGAATCACTAGTGAAATATTGGAGGGATGCAGTGCTAGAACCAACTAGATTTTATTAAACGGAGTGTTGTTAATCGTTTTAGATTTAATCATATCATTCACAGCTATTTCGATTGCTTCTTTTACAGGTACATTAGTATATAATGCATCGACATCGAAACTACACATAATTAGATTTTTATTACAATTAATGTTTTTTATTTTTGTTACTAGGTCAAAAGAGTCGCGTATGAAAGAATCCGCTTTAGTTGTAAGATTATTTTTCAATAGATTTGCTAAATATTTAGACAATTCATAGTTATAGCTTCCAATTGATGAGATAATAGGTCTTAATGGGTAGCCTTGTTTATGTATTTTTGGCTGTCCATACATACAAGATAAGGAAGAGCAAGTAGAACTTAATTGACGATATAATTGTTTAGTTATAACATTTTCGTTATGTAATTGACGAAGGTAATTATTCATTTCTTTTTCTTTTTCTTTGAGTAGTGAGTTAGGAGTATGTATAAACTGCTTTAATTTTAGAATTTGTTGCATTTTTTCCATGTAATCTTTTCTATCCATTATTACTATAGCATTTCCTTTATCAGCACGACTTATGATGATTTCTTTATTATTCTTTAATGTTTTTATAGCATGAAATTCTTCATCACTAATATTACGTATCATGTTTCGTTTAGAGTTTATTAAGAATCTATCCGAAATATCATGTAGGTGATGACATCCCTAGTCTCAATCCTGTTCATTCCTTGAGAAACCCTGAAAGGATCTGTCAGGATCCTGAATCTCAAGGATCCTGCTAAGTTTTATTCAGGATCCTCTCTCGAATCCTAGAAATTCCTGT